CAGGTTTCCCCATCTGGCTTTTTGTGGACTCCACCTGGTGGACAGGGAGAGTGCCTGGTAGCCCTGGGATCCTAGCTTTTATCAGTCACCTAAATTCTTCAGCCTTTGGTTTCCTGCTCTCTGAGCTATGGGGATTGGCTCTAGTGATATCTGAAGTCTTTCCCATTGTGGTGAGTGGTTGTGAAGGGGGTAAACACATACGAGTTCCTCCATTGATGGAAATTTCAGCTGAAAGTTGTAAAAGCCGTATGGTTCTTGGGATCAAAAGGGAAGAACCAGTTGCTTTTGCTTTTTAGTCTCCCACACTTTGCCTGTAAAAGGTTGAGTGTAGCTTGGAGATTTGGTAGGAGAGGCAGCGTTTCTCTTCCAGAAGGGCTCTTCTAGTTTCATTGCCCTTGAAATGAAAAGGAAACAATAGAAGACACAGAAAATATACTGGACACAACAGCTGGCACATCTTCATGTGGGCTTCATCTTCATAGTCAGCATCCAAGCAGGGATAACTTCTCAGTGTGACAGGTGTTGTCTAGGCTTAGCCCACGAGAGAGGTTGCAAGAAAAGTCAAACAGGTGTCCCCAGATTCAGTGGTGATGGCCCAGTGACCAGAGTTACAGCCTAGGCCCTGCAGGCTCTCCTCTTGCCATCGTCCACATGCATCTGTGCGGTTCGCTGCCATCTGCCAACGCCCCCCTTCCCAAGCTCAGCCGGGACCCTTCTACCCTTCCCATCTCTTCTGAGATTCCTCCAGTAACTGTCCCACTCACCAGCCCCAAGGTAGCACCCTGTCCTGTGTCTAACCCAGACCCCTGGGATGCTAAGGAGGTGTGACTCTCAGGCCCTTGCAGAAGTAGGATTCCAGCTCTTTCCCAGGGGTGAAAGTTACACAGCTCTGAGGGCACCTGGGATAGGCCTAACCCCAGGTCTGGCCTTGCCTTTCCCGTTTACACACAGCCTCTCACAGAAATGCCCAAATGTTCCTGTATGATTGATTGTGTGAATTTAGTAGCTGCCTACTTGGTGTTCCATGATTTCTTTTTGCAGGCAAACTAGGGCCACTCGTGAATTTGTTTTGGCTTGTGGTCTGAGGATGTGAGGTGCTCCACCCAAGGGAATATCTCACAGGCCTATCAAACCAGAGCAGAGAAATGCTGGTCCCATTGCACAGTGGCAGAGTCAGAGGGATAGAGACCTCAGGCTAGAGAGGTCAGCAGGCAGAGGCCCTGGTCTGGCCATGTTTGGAGGCTGCAGGGGCGTTGGCCTCAGGGTGGCAGCTGAATAGTGTTAAGAGCAGGGGGTGCCAACTGGCAAGTACCACCAAGCCCCACACGGCCTTTTCATTCTACTGAGAGCTCCTTGCTTCACCTCCCCAGGCTGCTTAGATGGGAAGGTTTGCAGAGAAGCCTGGGTTTCTGGCTGGTGGTATTGAGACACCGGGCAATGCTGTAGATGTGACAATGTCTGGACTTAACCGGCAGCTGAGGTCATAGGTGTGGCAGAGGAGACAAGATGAATATCAAATTAAGGAATAAGACAAAAGCTCACAGTGCCAAGGCTCTTTATACCAGATTTGATTGCTCAGGGAATTCAGAGGGATTGAGTATAACCTGATGTGGCATCCAGTTAGCAGGGGAGTTTTAAGCCAACGGGTGATACTATATTCATCAGAACTCATTGACCTGTACACTTACAAGGATGAATCTTGCTCTGTGGAAATTATTCTGCAATAAATATAAATATAAAAATAGGGAGACCTACTGGGCCCCTCCAGAAACACCCATGGGCTCTGAGCCCACACAGGTCAAGAACTCCCTGTGGGTTTCTCACAGCTCTGCAGCTTGGTGCCCCTCAGCACTGATGCCAGTAAACTGTGGGGCCACTGAAGACACATTTCTGTCCTTGCCATCTCCCTTATACTCCATGGCAGAGGAGAATGAGCTTGTGCTGTCAAGAATTAGGTTCTGTGACCCCTCACATGACAGAACACAACGTCAGATGGATTGGACTTGTGATCTAAAAGCAGCCAGGGGGAAGGGGAGAAGAATCACTTTTCCTAGAGAAGATGCAGTATCAGGCAGGGCAGCAATCTGGGGTTTAATTACAAATATGAAGATGGGGTGGCTGTGGGCTTAAAGGGTCTGTGTGCAGGGAACCCCAGAGCCCAGGAGTCCCACTACAACAGCAGAGGCTCACAGACCGCAGCAGAGTGTTAAACTGCCATGGTGGACAAGCCTCACTGTGGGCTCCAGATACAGTCAGAGCCCGCATGAGTCCTGCATGGCAGCTGGCAGCTGTTCCACTATTATCCAAGGGAGCCCAAGAGAAGGTGTTTGTCAGAAATGCTGATTTCCAGGTTTCTCTTAAGAAAGCTCTAAGTGCTTTCTGAGGCTCTGGGGGGTAGGGAGCAGCAGGCCAGCACCTGTCCCTTGTGGACTGGGAATTTCTGGCTGTCCCTGTGCCCACTCATCAGTTCCCTCCCTCTTGGAGGAACAGGCTAGTCTAGGCTGGCAGGACATAGGAGGTCAGAGCATATGTCCTCATAGGTGACCTGTTTGCATTTTAGCAGGGCTTTTCTGGAAAGTGATACCTTGACCCTTAGAAGCAACTCTAGTGAGAAAAAATCCAGACATTGTCCCAGGTGGAGAAGCCTGAATGGGGAAGCAGGCTCTGCCCTGTGTCGAGGCTTGGTTGTTTCACAGATTCCAGCTTGGAGAGCTGACTAGGACAGACAGACCTTCCTAATTAATTTGTTGGTGCTGTGGCTGAGATTGAAGCCAGGCTGATTGAAGTGTGTGAGGCCAGTGTCCTTCTGTGTCCTGACTGGGCCCTGCCTGCTGTCATGACAGTTTACTCCAGGTCATGGGGTCGTGGTTTCTTAAGAAGGGTCACAGGGATCTCCTTATCCAGAGCTTACGTACAGGTTTGAATCCTGAGGTGGGGGGAGGAAGTGAGGTTCCTATCCGCGTTCATTCACTCATTCACCCAGGAAAGCACCCCTTCTGCTTTGAGGGGCCAGATAAGGAATGAAATCCAGCCTGGCAAAAAGGTACTGAAACCCTGGGGAAGAGATGCCTGAGAAGGATGTGTGTCCTTGCTGTGCCCCCACCCCTGGAGAAGGGGTCTCCAAGAGGACTGTGCTGGGCCAAGGGAATGCCATGCCTGAAAAACTTCAAGTGGTCTAATTTGCCTGGAACCCCTGGTGGGGGCAGGTAAGGTTGGAAGGTAGGGAACATCAGAGAAGGAGCAGCTGTGTCCCCTCAGGGGAGAAGGCATCAGATGTGGACCTCTCAGACTCTGGGCAAGCTCAGTTAGAGAGCCCGGGATGGGGGCACAGCAAGGAATGATGCTGGGGAGGTCCAGGCAGGAGAGGATGGAGCTTCTGGGATCTCAGCAGGGAGGAGGGCCTCAGCCAGCCCGCTGGGTAGAGCAGTTCTAAGGGAGTTACAGGGCAGAACCCTAACTACAGTAGTGTGGGAGCAGCTGGTGGTGAGACAGTGGAGATGGCAACCCCAGTGCCCTTCTGGAGCCCTGACTGTGAAAGGAGGCAGCAGAAGAGAAGGCATGGGTGGGTCGCGGCCGCCCAGGAGGCAGGGGCGGGCGGGAAGCACTGACCCTGTGGGAAGAGCAGGATGGCTGGGTGGCTGGATGCAGGTGAGCTTTCTGGATGTTAGAGGAGGAATCAGAGATTTCCTGCTTGACAACTTCTATTTCCCTGTGAAGAAGGAAACGAAGCACCTGCTGAGAGGTTGGCAGAGTCATAAGCTTGAAGAGAAGGGAGGACAAGCCTGACTGCGGGCTCCAGCTACAGTCAGAGCCTGCCTGAGCCCTGCATGGCTGCTGGCGCCTGTCCCACTATTATCCAAGGGGCCCGAGAGAAGGTGTTTGTCAGGATGGAGGGGATCATGCCATCTAACCAGGAAAGAGGGATGAAGGTGTGGATTTGTTTGCTGAGGTCAAGACCATAAATAGACATTCTGAGGTCAGATTCCAGCTTAGATCTGGGAATAGTATTTTAAGTTGTAAAAGTAGTTCTCAGAGTGAAACTTGGTTTAATTTTTTGGCAGCAATACTATATTATATTAAACTGTGTCAGCAGGGCTTAGTTGAGTTGATGTATGATCTTATCCAGTCACCTCAGATAGGGGGAAAGAGAGGGTGAGTAGTTGGCTCTGTCTAGAATTGATGTTTTTGTAAAGGTGGAAAAGTAAAGACCTGGAAGTGGCATTGGGGGTGGCAGGTGGGTGAGAAGAAGCCATCTGCACTCTAGAGTGTGGTTTACGATAGCAGGGTCCTGGGGGCCCCAGCTGCACTTACGTGGTGGGGGTGGGTATTCCTTAGGCTGAGGGACCGAGGGAGTTACAGGGCAGTGATGATTTGAGGACTCAGCAGAGGTGGGGAACATGGGGAGCCCACACACATATGGGAAGGAAGGAAATAGTGATGGGAGGAGTCCCTGGTGTCAGTGACCCAGGAAGACAGGGATGAGAAGCAGAGAATAACAGGGTCCATCACAGCCATCTCCTGGGGGCTGTTTGACTGGGGGCTTTGGCTTCGGATGATGTCCCAGTGATGGCAGCATCTGTGGTCATGGTAAAGAGCACAGTTTCTGCTCATGGTTCCAGAGAGAACCCTGGTGAAAAGTCCCAGGCCCCAGGATATATCCACCCCCACAGTTTCTGCTCATGGTTCAGAGAGAACATTGGTGAAAAGTCCCAGGCCCCAGGATGTCCACCCCAGGCTGTTGGTGGAAGAGGGGCTTAGGAAGCCCAAGGACTTCCTCTGCCCACCCCCTCATTACCACCTTCTATTATTATTTTAATAGCAAAGAAGAAAATCCAGTTTAATGTCTTAGCAGCTTTAATAAGATACAATTTGTGTACGGTACAATTCACCCACTTAGAGTGTACAAGTACCAGTGTTGAGTGCGTTTACAGAATTGTGCAGGCTTTAGCATATCAGTTTTGGAATATTTTCATTGTCCCACATAGAAAACCATTTGCAGCAGCTTCCCCCACCCCCACCTCACCCTAGG